TTAAAGACGTGTGCCACCTCACCCATCTCAAAAAATTAAGGATACTTTTAAATTTCTCCTTTGACCCATTGTCATTCAGGAGTGTGTTGTTTAATCTCCATGTGTTCATGTAGCTACTAAGGTTTCTTCTGGTGTTGATTTTAAGCTTTATTGTATTGTGGTCCGTTAGAATGAATGGAATTATTTCAATCTTTTTGTATTTGTTAAGGCTTGTTTTGAGCCCGAGTATGTGGTGGATTTTGGAGAAATTTCCATGGGGCACTGGAATTGAAAGTATATTCTTTGGTTCTTGGGTGGAATATCCAGTAGATATCTGTTAGGTCCATTTAATGTGTGGTATTGTTTAATTTAGATGTCTCTCTGATAATTTTCTGTCCTGTTGACCTATCTAATGGGTATTGAAGTCCCCTACTAATGATTTGGGATTAATCTGTGTCCTAACATCCTGTAGTACTGTTTTTATGAAGTTGTGTGCACCAGAGTTTAGTGAATATATGCAGTCGTTCCTTTGATCAGCATGAAGTGGCCCTCTTTTTCTCTTCTGATTAGTTTTAGTTTGAAGTTTATTTTGTCAGATACCAGAATTGCAACCCCTGCTTTTTTCTTATTTTCTTGGAAAAATTTTTACCCAACCTTTCACCTTAAGATAGTGCCTGTCCTTGAAAGTGAGATGGGTTTCTAGCAGATAACAAAAAGGTGAGTTTTGTTCCTTAATCCATTCATCTAAGTCTGTGCCTTTTGACTGAGGAGTTCAATCCATTGATATTTAAGGTTATTAATGTAAGATGTGTGTTGATTCCTGTCATATTGATTTCTTTTAGTGTTCTTGATGTAACTGTGTGTTTCCACAGTTACACCTTCATTAAGTTTTTTTCTGTTACCTCTTAGGTATAATTATTCCTTTCTTCAGCTCTTTGTATTGCTTTAAGAACTCTCTGAAGGGCGGGTTCTGTGGACATGAATTCTTTCAGCCTATTTATGTCATGAAATATTTTTTTCCCCCTTCACCTGTAATAGACATTTTGGCTGAATAAAGTAATCTGCTTTGGCATCTGTGGTCATTTAGAACCGGGAATACTTTGGTCCAGGTTCTTCAGGTTTTCATTGTTTGAACTGAAAAGTCAGCTGTAATTCTGATGGGTTTTCCTTTATATGTGACTTATTTTTCTTTTTCAGCTTTCAGTATTTTCTCTTTGTTCTGTACATTTAGTGTTTTTACTATGATGTGCCCTGGAGAGTTTCTTTTCTGGTCCTCTCTATTTGTGTTCTATGTGCTACTTGTATTTGTATGAGTATGTCTTTCCTAATTTGGGGAAATTTTCTTCTACCATCCTGTTGAAGATCTGGTCCATACAGTTATCCTGAGATTCTTCTCCTACCTCTATGCCTATGATGCTTAAGTTTGGTCTTTTTATGGCGTCACACAATTCTTGCATATTCCATTCTTTTGTTTTCTTTAATTTTTCATAATCTTTGCCTGAGTGGTCTAATTCATCTACTTTATCTTCCAGTCTTGATACTCTGTTTTCCATTTCATTTATCCTATTGATGAGTCCTCCTCCTGTCATTTCTAATTCGCTTACTGCGTGTTTCACTTCCTTCTCCATTTCAGCCTGGACATTCATCAATATTTCTAACTCTTTTCTGAATTCATTCAGAAGTTTATCCCTATCTTCCTTAAGTTCTTTGATTTCTTTGTGTGTTCTTTAAACTCACTGAATTCTTTTATCTTGTTTATAGTTCTTTTGAATTCCATGTCCTTTGTTATCTCTAGGAGGTTCTCATTTTATTTCTCTACAGGACTGTTGGTACTTGGTAGGGATATATTATTTGGATTTTTCATGTTTTTTTTTTGCTGTGACTTTGACATGTGGATTTTTTTTTTGTAGTTTGTCATTCTTGTGTGAGACTCAAACCTTCCTTTGTTGAGGTTAGGTCTGCTCTGTTTGTAAACTTTATGTGCCTTTGTGGTTTACTTGTTGGACATGAAAATCTGGTTGGTCTAGCCTTCAGGTTCTCTCTTTTGATTTTATATTGGAGGGGGCCAGATGGCTTTTGTCCTGCTGCTCAGGACTTCCAACAGAGGCCCAAGTCAGAAGAGGATAAGATGTTCTCAGGCTTTCTCCTAAGTGTGGATCCCTCTAGTCAGCAGTCACAGTATAGTTTTGAAGGATTGCTAGGTAGAGGTAGGATTCAGGACTCTTTGGCATTCAGAGAAGGAGGCTGGTCTCAGGAATCTAAGTTGGGGGTGGGACAGCCAGGGATGAAGTCTAATCTCAGGTATGAAAATGCGAGGTGGGTGGGAACAGACTTTGAGGGCTCCAGGGGACTAGACTGAGGAATTAGGTTGGTCTGGGTACAAAGGATCAGGAAGCAGTGGGGAGTCTGGGCCAAGAGGATAGCCCAGATGTCTGGGGTGCCAAGAAATGGGCCGGTGCCTGCACTAGGAGGAGAGATGGGGTGGGAGAGCATGTTATGTTTTTTTAAAGTTATAGTTGTAGTTATAGTTATTATATCTAGATTCTGCTTATGAGAAAAACGTAATACTTGTCTTTCTGGCTTATTTTACTCATGTTTACCTGTGCCCTTTGTCTTTTTTGTTTGGATTCAAATTACAGTCTGAAGTCATATGATGGTTAGTTTCTCAGCTTGAAACAGTGTAGAATCGTATTGGAAAAGCCTCTCAGCGACAAATTGTCTAGGTTATGTTGGCCTCTAGGTATGTCTGTCCATGGCCGTCTAGATTACATTAATTGTGTGGGAAGACGCAGTCTAAAATGTGTGACACCACTCCTTGGATTCGGTCCCTAGATTTTATGAGAGGAGAAAGGAAGCTGGCAGTCATTTTCTTTCTGACGGACAAAGGATGTAGATAGCTGCTCCAAGTTCTTACCTTGACTTTCCCACATTGATAGACCATAACCTGGAATTGTAAACTGAATAAATCCTTTCTTATGGGGCGGGTCGCTGGACCCCCGGCGTGGTGTGTGCGGGCACCCTGGGGTCTCCGCCACACCTGGCTAATCCCGGCGTGAGTCTGGCCGCAAGCGATGTGGGGAGCGCGCCTGGGCTCCCGGGCGCACTCACTCTGGATGTGGCCCAGGGTCAGGTGTGCGTGCACTCTCCCACCGTGGTTCTGGTCCCGCTGGCTAGCCGCTGGCGGGCCTGGCCGGCCAGGCCTCTCTGAAGACAGCAGATGCGCAGACTTCTCTGATGCTGGCTGTAGCTGATAGCTACACACTTCTCTGGAGCGGAGAGCTTCCTCTGCTACTAGAGTATTATCTAGTCAGAATCCCGCCTCTATTACACCCTTGTGCCCTTCCTCAGGATTGCGGAGTTCTGGCCAGTGAACTCCACAGGGAAGAAGCACAGAGGTGGCGAAAGCTGGGGTATCCGTGGGTTGTTAACGGAGAGTGCTGCTCTCCGGTGAGATCAGGTAGCCGGTAGTAAGACACAGGACTCAAGGCACGGCTTAGTCTGTGTTTACAGCTTTATTGTATCTCTGCTCCTTGCTGTCCAGCTCTTTGCTGATCCAGCTTTCTGGGACCCAAGCTCCGGGACCCAGTCTCTGACCCCATCTCTGACTATTAAGAGAAGACTAGCATATTTATATACCATGGGGGTAGTGGTAAAAGCTTTTAGATACTTTGTGAGATATTCTATTTACATGTGGAAGTGGGTTTCTGCTAGACTATTGTCTACCTGTAAAAACCGCACACAGGAAGGCATGGTATGCATAGAGCCAAAGGCCATGTTTATGTCAAGGCATCTGTGGTGGCCACTTCAAAGGGAGAGACAGGAAAGATGCCAGAAAGCACCTTGCTATGAAAAGGAGCCCGCGGCACATTCCCGAGCTGCATGAGCTGTCCGGTGTGAACGGGCTTCGACTTTTGCATAACAGAGGTCTCCCAACACTTTCTCCCTTCAAATTGTTTTTATCAGGGTATGTTACCACAGCAATACATAGTGAAACTAGCACAGGTCACTTGCTTTCAGCCGGAGGAACTTCTATTAATATTTGTTTGTAGCTAGCAAGCTACAAAAGGTAGTTTTGCTGTGTATAGAGTTCTTGGTTGATAGGGCTTTTTACCAGTATGATTATCTACAATCTTATTTCTGCCAGAAAGTCAACATTTGTCTTACTAGGCTTGTGTATAATGTTTTCGCTTTCTGCTTTCTAGATTTTTCTCCTTTAAGCTTGAGAATTTTTGGTATGAACATTAATTTTCTCTTTGCAGTTATTGTATTTGGAATTAGTTAATTGAGCTTTCTGGACATATATGTTAGTGTTTTTCAGTAATTGGGGGTGTTTCAGGGACTATGTTGAATATTCAAGTAATTTTTCGGTGGCTTTCTTTACTCCTTGGTATTTCTGTGGTTACTAACGCTAATATGTTTAATTATCATTACATTACCGTTTCTCTTGAGAATCTTCATCAGTTTTTTTCTGGGTTTTATTATTATTATCTCTGTAAATAGTCTTGGGCCATTTTTTTGGTTTCTTTTTTTTTTTGGCATTCAGAAGTAACTTAGGTCTGCAAGTATTTGAAAGAGAAGTATCGGTGTTTATCAAGAATGAAACCTCTACCTATTTATTATTGTTATTCAGTGCCCTTCTCCTTTTTATATTATATTACTGGCCAGAAAACTGCAGTGGCAGGTAACAAAATGCTATAGGAAGTTATATAATTGTGTTTAAAGAAATAAAATTTGCACGAAAATCTACTGATGCAATGGATTAGTGGCCTTTTGAAATAGGATCTATAGTAGCATGAGAAAAAGCTGGGAATGGACACATAAAAATGTGCATATTAACTGATCTGTGGCAGATAGGACTTTCTTAGCAGTAAAGAGACTACTAGTTTCTTTTCTGTGGCAATAACTTCCAATTATGAATAATGTTGATTCTGAATGATACAGACATGTTCTATATTATGTGTAAGGTATTGGCTTTAAATATCTTAAAGCAGGGTCCTTTTAGTTTTTGTATTCTTTTATAGGTTGAACATTTTCACAAGGATGTAGAAACTTTTGAGAAAGAATTTGAAACAGTTTCATCAGTAGATCAATCACAAGTGAATCTCTTTGAATATTTTCATATATCTCCTATCAAGGTAAGGGAAATAATATCATTTTTGTGTCTCAGATCTAAGTAATTTAATTTAATTAATTAAGTCTCTTTCAGGGATATAAAATTTAAAGTATGTCCTTTAATTGCACAGAAATTTTTAAATTTTCCAGTTACAAATCTAAATAACAAAAGAATTGATCCTTTAAGCTTTTAAGAAAATGTTTTAACCATGTGGATGTGTTTTTAAAATTACCTACAACTGCGCTTATATGTTTATGTCTTAATCTTACATTATTTTACTTTAATTTTCTCATAAATTATCAAGTAATCTTAAGAGGTGGGCACAGAGGCTGGAGAGCTGGCTCTTTGGGTAAGACTGCTTGCTGCATAAACATGAGGACCTGAGTTCAGGTCCCCAGGATCCACATAGAAAAGAATCTCACAGCTCCATGCCTGTAACCCCAGTACTGCTTGGTAGAGGACAGTTAGGATAAACTCTGGGATGTGCAGAGTACCAACTTGGTCAGAACATAGCAAGCTGTAGGATCAGAGAGAGACCCTGTCTCAAAGAAATAAGGCAGAGAGTGATAGAGGACGAGGCCCAACACCCTGTGGCCTCCATGTAAATATGCATGATGCATGTATCCACCCCCACACATGCATATATACATACATACACACAAAAAGAATTGAGCACAGAATGTAATTCATAAGTTTTTGTTTCATTATTATCATTATGTGTGTGTGTGTGTGTATGCATGCATTTGTGCATTTGTACACTTACAACCACAGATGTGAAGGTCAGAGATCAACTTGCAGGAGTCAGTTACTGTCTTCAACCATATGGGTTCCCAAGTGCCTTTACCTGCTCAGCCATCTTGCCAGCCAAATATCTTACTTTGGAGCATTATTTCTCCAAGTTATTTGCAGTATACTTAAAATTACTGCAGAAACTTATATGTACGCAATATTACACAAGTGCTTTTAAACTTGCTTCATATTATGCTGACTTAATTCTGATAGTTGAAATGTAAACTTCAGGAGCTATCTGAATTATTACTAACTGCTTCAACTTCTAGATTGTTATGGTTCAGCAGTGTCTAAAGAACAGGGCTGAAGGTGGTTGTGGTGGTGCACTGCTTATAATCGCAGTGTGCAGAAGGCTGAGGCAAGAGGACTGCAAGTACCAGGCAGCCAGGTCTGCTAAGAGCGTCTGTCTCAGAAAAAATAAAATTAGAAAAGAATCAAATTGACTGAACATTATGAAATTTTAAATTTTTCGATTTAAATTTGAAGTAGAGCTATCCTGGATTTCTTCAATTTTCCAATTTTTAAGTTTTGGCATAATTCATGTAACCTTGAAATCATATTTATGGTATAGTAAACTTAAAAATTAAGCTTGTTTTTGAAAGTTCTAATTGCCACTGTGAAGAAAGCACTTCTAATGTATTTCTCTTTTTGTCTCCAGTTGCACTTAAGTGTTTCATTGAGCTCTGGTAGAGAAGGAGCTAAAGACTCAGAACAACGTGGAGGACTAATTCCACTTCATTCGTTAAATCTTTTGCTGAAGAGTATTGGTGCCACACTTACAGATGTACAAGATGTAGTTTTTAAGTATGTTTATTAAAATATTAACACCAAATATTTTATTTGCTCTTAATGACTTATGTTACAGAAGAATTATTAAATAATTTCCTTAAGGAAAAGAAATGTAGGCTATTCAGTTGTATGTACTTTACAAATTCTGCCCTGAATATTCATAAGAAGTGCATACCCAAAGCTACAGTGCTTGAAAGATAGAGCTTTGAAGTCTATAAAATCACAGCTCTTCAAAGACTGTGACTAGACAGAATGAATTCAGTAACATGGGAAATAAAGTGATCAGTTTAAATGTGTTGTCATCAAGAATTTATATTTAAGCTAGGCACCATGGAGACTAGGCCAGGTATAGTTCCAGTGCTTGAGGCACAAAGGTGGAGAAAGTAATTGAGTGCAGGAGTTCAAGACCAGCATATACAACATAGTTCATCTCAAAAACAAACAAACCCAGTATTTATATTGGAATGTAAGTCAGAATGGAAGGTAATTAAGTATCTGACCGGTGTCTCAAAGATTCAAGTAGAGGCTTCAGAAAAGAATAATCTTTAGGTAATATGTCTGCTTTTTAAGAACAGTATAGGAATACATATATTAAGAGGTAACAGAATCTGGCTTAGGTAGCGGTCAAATACGAACATAGGCTTGATGGCCGCACAGTAAGAAGAAATTGACTCTTCTTATGGTCAGCAAAAAGAAGCATGGAGCGTTCTAGTTGGAACTTTCCAATCAGTGAATTCTATGTTGTCAGTAGTATTTTAAGTAAGCTTATTCTGCTGCCTCTGCTATCAGCCCCTATGGAAGGACTCATGAAGTCTGGCCGTTCCCAAGCAGCCCTTTCATTCATCTCAATATGTCAAACATTTTCTGTGAGGGCCATGATAGGTCACAGCTGGGAAATAATTCTAGCGGTCCATGAATGAAATCCAAGGGATCTCTGTCTTGGTCTTTGGTGGGGTAAACTTATAAAGGATAAGAGCCATGAACTTTATCAAGTTCTTAGAGAACTCTAACTTGAATGTGTATGGGGAAAATGTATTAGTAGACATCTGCAGAAAAAAATTCTAAAGAAAACAAAATTGATCATCAGTATTTTTTTTCATTTTCTCTATGCATAAATGTACATATGTCTGTTCATGAATATATATGTTAATATGTTTTGTTCAGGCTTGCCTTTTTTGAACTCAACTACCAGTTTCATACAACATCTGAACTACAGTCTGAAGTAGTAAGACACTACTCAAAACAGGTTTGTCTGAGATTATCATACAAGGAGATAGAAAGGTAGTGAAACCTGATGTGTCTGTTCATGCATGTGTAATATAGATTTCTCAGGAAAGCAAGTAGCCTAAAAATTTTTAAATTTGGGTTTTTCCACTCAGAGTTAGAGAAATAAAGTTAATCCTAACCACCATATTTCAGTTTTTTGCCCGTATGCTTTTATTTTTGTTTTTTTTTGTTTTTGAGACAGTCTCCCTATAGCCCAACTGGCCTAGAACTTGCTATGTAGACCAGGCTGGCCTGGCCTCAGTCTCTGAGATCCACCTACCTCTGCCTTCCAAGTACTGAGAAAGATGTGCACCACCAAACCTGGCCCATCCTTGTACTTTTAAATATTATATATATATATATGGAATTTTTATATGGATCAATGTGGATAAGAAATTCATAAATTGTTTAGGGTCTGGAGAGATGGTTCAGCAGTTAATGGCTCGGTGCCCTTGCAGAGGACCTGTGTTCTGTTCTCACCACTCCTATAGTGTCAACCATCTGTAATTCCATTTCCAGAGGGTCTGACACTGACCTGTGACCCCAGTACATGCATGTAGACGAAACACTCATACACATAAAAAAATTAAAATGTTTAAAACATCTTTTAATACCATTAATTCATCATACTTATTTTTTTAATGGCTTCATGAGAATCTAAAACACTATTTTATTGTTGTTTTAATTTTTATTGTTTATTTATTTGAGATGGTCTACCTGTAGCCCCAGCTGACATGGAACTTCCTAAGTAGACCAGGCCTCAATTTCACAGAGGTCCTCCTGCCTTTGCCTCCCAAGTGCTGGAATTAAAGGAGTGCGCCACCATGTCTAGCTGAACACAAAATATTTTTAATGTGTAGTTGTTGAGTCAGGCACATACACTATTTTAACAGGTCTTTTCAACTCTAGAAAGATTTTCATCTTATGATTTAAACCTTAGTTCTGGATTTGGATTCCACTTTTGCCAATGTACTTACCCTGTGACCCATATAAAATAATGATGGTAATAATAGCTATCACAAGTAATTATACACTGAAAAACATTTTCTATATTCTAGAGTGTCATTTTCTCTGTTACTTTAACACCAAGTTGCTTTTTTTAAATGTAATACAGTAGACTGGGAGTGAAGGGAAATTATTCAGTCACTAAAGCCCTTGCCTTGCAAGCTTGGTGACCTGAGTTTGGTTCCCCAGAACTCATAAAAATGCCAAGTGTGGTAATGATATCTACCTGTAATCCCAGCACTGGGCAGGCAGAGACGGGAAGATCACTGGGGTCATGTGCTACCCAGTGTAGCCTAGGTCAGTGAGCTCCAAGCCAGTGGGAGACTGTCTCAAAGGAAGCAGGTGGTGTTATTGAAGTTGAACTCTGGCTTCTACACATACCTCCACACATGTGCATTTGCACACACATGGACATATGCATAGACATGCATTAAATAAATAATTTTTTAGACTAAAATAGTGATGTGGGTTAGGAGTTGAAATTTTTAGTAAAAGATGTTAGCTTGAACAAACTGGATTTGTATACTAAGTAATCTATACAAGGATTATAGTTCTAATAATGTTAATTAATATTCACATTTAATTTTTAGGCTATTAAACAAATGTATGTACTTATTCTTGGACTTGATGTTTTGGGAAATCCTTTTGGCTTAATTAGAGAATTTTCAGAAGGCGTAGAAGCATTTTTTTATGAACCTTACCAGGTAAAATAGTTATTTTTAATTATGTAATATATTGTATAAAATAACACCTTCTTAGTGGAAAATATATTTCTGTGTCTAACTTGAGTTTTGGTGTAATTTATTTGTTTATTTTAATTATGTGTGTATGAGTGTTGTACCTGCATGTATGTAAGTGCACTCATGTCATGTGATGCCCGCAGAGGACAGAAGAGGGTGTTGGATCCCCTGGAACTGGAGTTACAGATGGTTGTTAGCCACCATGTGAATCCTAGGATTCAAACCCAGGTCTTCTGCAGAAACAACCAGTGCTCTTAACCACTGTGCCATCTCTCCAGCCCCCTATAAATAATTTTTTTTGAGATCCACAAAATTACACTGTTTTTAACAGTGAGAGAAAATTTTTATCTTTTCCTTCAAAATTTAAACTTAAGATTTTGTTAAGATTCCTAATTTTAAGTGTTGTTTTAGAATATAAAAGGTGACTATAGTTCAGACCATAGTAAAAGGAGGATCACCATGTGTATGTAATTTTGCTTTGCACAGAAGTATGGAACTGTGAAAATAACTATCAGTTGATAATGTGCAAAGTAACCAATAGTGAATGGAAAAAAGTTGTTTGTTCTGCATCCTTTAAATGTTCCGTTGACGCATTCAGAGCTTTCCCACTTTACTTATAAAATGTATACCATGATAAAAGCAAGGTAAAACTCATATTTACTATAAACACTGCAATATAAAAAATTGCTAAGGATTTCTTTTCGAAAATGTTATCAAGAGTACTGTGAAGGGTACATGTTTTCTATCCATTGTACAACCTATCATGTATAACAGTCATCTTTTCTATACTGAGATGAATTATCCCACTCTTCTTAGTTTGGAACAACTTCCCATCATATGTTTTACCATCTTTAGTGTCATGAAATTATCCCTGAGAATTCAGTGGGAGGTTTTTGCTGGCATCACTTCCTCTAGGACATCTTTATTTCAGTCAGTGTCGCATTCCTTGTATCAGCACACTCATCTTTAAATACAACTTTTTTGTGTGTTCACTTTAGGGAGCCATCCAAGGTCCAGAAGAATTTGTAGAGGGAATGGCATTAGGACTTAAGGCGCTAGTTGGTGGAGCAGTTGGTAAGACAGAATACCAACTTTTATTTATTACAGGAATTGTTACATAATGGCATAATTGCTTTTACTTAAGATACTATCATTTCTGTTTAGGTGGGTTAGCTGGTGCTGCCTCCAAAATCACCAGTGCTATGGCCAAAGGGGTAGCAGCTATGACTATGGATGAAGACTACCAACAGAAGAGAAGGGAAGCCATGAATAAACAGCCAGCTGGCCTTAGAGAAGGCATCACTCGTGGAGGAAAAGGCTTAGTTTCTGTAAGAAGTCCCACAGGCATATGAACACTGTTAAACCAGCACTTAGTAAATAAGGAAATAGACATATACAGCTCTTCATCTTAAATTATTATTTGCATATTGTAAAAGCAGTGAGTAGTGACATGGGAAATACTTCAGTAGTCTCCAGAAGCATTCTGTTTAGATAAAGTGCTTGGGAAATATGTTACTTATTGTGGTATTTAAAAAGAAAGAACTCTATAAATTTTTTGTTAAAGCAAGATGGTCTTCTTAAACATCATATGGAAGTGTTACAAGCTTTCAATTTTGCTTTCTCTCCAGGGCTTTGTAAGTGGCATTACAGGAATTGTTACAAAACCAATTAAAGGCAAGTGTGGTGACTTCTTTGGGTGTTATATATTTCTCAAATTGCTTCTATTTTTATTCTTGATCCAATTGCATTAAACTTTATCATGTTTTCTTTATAGGAGCTCAAAAAGAAGGAGCGGCTGGTTTCTTTAAAGGTGTTGGGAAAGGTTTAGTTGGAGCAGTGGCAAGGCCGACTGGAGGCATTATAGACATGGCTAGCAGTACCTTTCAGGGGATCAAAAGGTAAAAATTGTCTTTGTGAGTGACAGATCAATAAAATGCTGAAGCCATGAAAAATGGAATATAATAGTGGTTAGGAGTTTTAGTTATGATCACAGGTTGCATGTTTTCTTAATTCACTTTGATTCTTTTTAAATTGATACTATTGCATTATTTCAATAGAATTCTTTCTCATTTGTTTCTAGCAGCTGCTTTTAGGAATGATTTGGGAAGCTGATCAGACATTTTAGTTTTCTTAATTGAAATACATAAATGTTGTGCTATATGTCAGTAAAAGCAAATATTCTGTTTTTAGGAAATTTAAAAAATGGTACTTCAATTCTTTTTAAATTGATACTATTGCATTATTTCAATAGAATTCTTTCTCATTTGTTTCTAGCAGCTGCTTTTAGGAATGATTTGGGAAGCTGATCAGACATTTTAGTTTTCTTAATTGAAATACATAAATGTTGTGCTATATGTCAGTAAAAGCAAATATTCTGTTTTTAGGAAATTTAAAAAATGGTACTTCAATACCTGAAGGAGAAGAATAGTAGGCAACCTACCTTAAGAAGGGAGATTTGGATAAAAATTAGGTTAGATTAGGGGAGGGGGGAGGGAAGGGTATATGAGGAACCTAGGGGATAAGGAGAAAGAAGCAGTTCAACAGAGGTAGGATCATGGG